TATCCTGTCAGTAAGAAAACAGTACTTGAAGTCTCTTTTGTGAAGTTTTTCTAGCTGAGCTAAGTCAATCAGATTTCATTTTCAACAAAGTAGAGCTCATAGGTCCTCCGGCAGGACCTCCTGCAAATTCTTCTCAGTTCTAACTTCCTAACCTTTGTACTTTTTTATTTCACAAGAAGAGTCATTCAACCACTATATAATTATCCCCAGTTCTCCAAGTCCTTCAGTCACTACTCCATATGGGAACCTGAGTGATATTGAAATATTGTCTTTTTCTTCCTTTGTTTGTTTAAATAGTTTTCACTTGACTATATATGACAATAGAAGCCATCACAGCCACACATAGGAGTATGAGCTAAACAGCACAGGGGAGTCCCCTCAACTCAACAGGCAGTTGTTTGGGATAAGATCCTAGGAGTTGGTCCATTGAAGGTCATTAAAATTCAACATGAAAACAAAGTCAGAGACTAGAACTTCCTCCAAAAGAAATCCTAGAGGCACCAAATGTCCAAACTGAAAGCAATTCCCAGAGACACCACCAACATCTAATTTACTCAATAGCTACAGTTGCTTCCCTAAAAGCCAGGGAAGATTTCTGAAGTGCTCAATTCCTAACAACAGAGAAGAGGAACTCAGTGCCCTGATATCCATGCTCCTCCTACTCCACACTACCTCTGATTGAGCTCAGCCACTGCTCAATTCAACCTCCTGAAAAAGTCTGCCTGGCACTGGGAGGTCCGGGCTTTGGCAATGTTTTAGCTCATCATTTGGATCTGTGAGAAGAAGATAACATCCTTTTCTGTGCAAGTCCTATTTTTTTCTCTTGTTACCTTCTTACCAATAAAGCCATGTGGACCTTATCAGAAAACTCAAAAAGTTATTTATCCAGAGCCTTACAGAAAAATTGCATGAAATAATTAGGGGCAGGGTAGAGAATGGATTCCAGTGTTCCTGAATATTTTGTACTCATTTAAAATCTCCCATCCGCCAGTGTCCCTGCAGAGAGATCTCAAAAAGGAAATGATGGATTTCAAAGTTGGAGTCTTAAACCGATCATTTTGAAGTCAACACACCATATAATATCCCATCCTCTGGGCCTAACATTAGCCAAGGCAATCTTCTTCAGCTGAAGCCTTCCCGGTACCAACCTTTCCTGCGGAAGACAAATACGAATCCAGCTAAAGAACTGCTACTGCTGTTATAAATATATGTTATTACTTGCAGGGCTCCACAGAAAGAGAGGTAATTCTCTTTTTATGTGCAGTAGTGACAAGGATGTTTAAATGTCCTCTTTATTTTGATAGTATTTCAGAGGGTATTATGCCACAATCAACTCAGATGGATTTTTGTTAGTCGGAAGGCCAGTGCCTTCCCTATCGGATCGTCTTGATGTGGATGGACAAAAGTCTTCAAAATGGGAAACAAAACAAAACCTTAACCCCTTTTTAAAAGTGGTTATGGCTTATACTGGAAAAAAAAATTTTTTGATTCTGCTGGAAAAGTATAGGGTAGAGTAGCTTTGCAGAACTGTATCAACAGCACCAGTGATTTAAGCTTGCTTTTACCTTAACGGATGACCCTAACTCAACGGACTTCTTTTTCCAAAAGATGACAAAGATTTCAAGTTCTATGTGGTTTTCTTACTTTTTTATATGACATAACTAAAATATGATGAATCAGTCGGACTTTAGACAGATTATCACAGATTATCAGGTGAATTTGTGCACAGAAAAAAAAAATACTCCTTTACCATCCCCCCGCCTCCGCATGAAGTGAGAATGAAGAAGAAATGCATACAATTTCTTTCTTTTTTTTTTTTTTAAGAAATTCAACACAAGAGCATAATTACCTTTAATAATTTCAAGTAGCCTATGTTCATGGGTAAAATGTACATGAAAATATTCAGAATACAGTTAATTTTATTTTCAAAAATAAAAGTATCTTACTGAGAAGATATCTAAAGTCATTTACCTGAGAATTCATATATGTTTGGTAAATTGGTAAATTGATTTACTAATCAGAGAAGAAATTACTAAATTTCTCTACTCTCCTTTCCCTATCACTAATTTCTCTTTTCATTTTTTTCTTTCTTTTTCTTTTTTCTTTTTTTTATTTGTTTTAACTAGTTATACATGACAGTACAATGATCTTGACATATCATACATTTGAATCAGATAGGATATAATTTCTCATTTTTCTGAGTGTACATGTTGCAGAATTATATTGGTCATGCAGTCACGTATATACCCACAGCAATAATAATGTCTATTTTATTCTGCTGTCCTTCCATTTCCCCCTTTCCCTTCCCTCCCCTCCCATCACATACAATTTCTTATAATAATAATTGTTATTTAGTGATTGTAAATGACACAGCCCATTTTGAAGCACAATGGTGAACAAGTTAGAGACAAAAAAAATCATCAATCCTTTTGATAGTAACTCCTAGAAATAACTCCTAGAAAAATAAAGGAAGTACAATGTGTATTCCAATGTTAGCCAGAAAGAGGAATAAGGGACTACATGCATGAGAAAATGAGGATTGACTAAATTCACTGTCATTTGGCTAAAGTAGGAGAGAGTTTGGGGACAAAAACTAGTAACAAACTCCATGTCCAATAATAAAGACATAATGTAGTGAAACAGCATTGATTTGATAGACTTTACATTCATTAAAAACAATAAAAAGTTTAAATTTAAAAAAAAACTTGCATAAAAATATAGAAAATAATTTAAATAAAATGCTGGAGTACACAAAACTGAATTATGTTTCAATTGCAATAGTTTGAAAATGTGTCATTCCTCTGCTGAAAGCCTTCAGGGACTCACCATAGCCATCAAGTCTCAGCACAATCTCCTTAATAATGCCCATCAGTGCCTTTTTTTTGCAGGGGGCTCAATTATCCTCATTGTCTATCTACCCTGGCTCAGGGAGTTTGCAGACCTTAGCAATTGCCCAAGCATATCCCCTTCAACAATCAGGAGAGGCACCTCTGAGACCTTCCCCACAAGGCTCCTCAGTGCACCATCTTCACACTGCCTTGCAGGGACTATTCCTTGTCCAATTATCCCACGTAGATGAGAACTTGTCTGGCTTCCTTGCTGCTGTGGTCCAGAACTTGGCATGGGGCTTGGCACAGGGAGGAGCTCAGGGGTATGCATTGGATGGATGCAGAAATAAAAAAGTGATCAGTGAATGAACTGGTGAGAAGAATCTGAACAAATATCATTGCCACTAGCCTCCCTAATTTTAGTGAATAGCTGAGTGCATTTATTCCTGTGGGCCATGCAGTGAACAGAGATAAGAAGGAAAGACAAAGCATAAAAGACAGTGGCATTGGGGGTAATTAGCAGATCCCTTTTCAAAATTATTTTAAATACTGCAGGGAGTTTGCAGGATGAGGGTCATAGCTTCATTCACATATAAATCATACACCATAAAGCTCATCCATTTAAAGTGTAAAAAGCAATGTTTTTTAGTTTATTCACAAAATGTAAAATGATCACCACAATCAATATCTGAAGTTTCATCACCATAAAAAGAGACCCCATGCACTTTAGCTATCATCCCTGACAATCTCCCTACATGCATGCCAGGCAACCACAACACCACTTTCTATTTACTTATTTTGGACCTTCATACAAAGTAAATCATCTAATAGGTAGTCATTTTTGTCTGGTTTCTTTCACTTAGCTTCATGTTTTCAAGTTTCATCCACATTGTAACTTGTATTTCATTCCTTTTTATTTGGAATGATATTCCATAAAAATAATAATATATAAATAATATAAAATAATAATATTCCATTGTGTGGATGTACCACATTTTTCTTATCCATTCATCAGAGGATGGCTATTTGGGTTGTTACTAGCTTTGGACTCTTATAAAAAAAATCCTGCTAGGCACGGGCATGTGCACATTTCTATGAGGACCTAATATTTTCATTTCTCTTGGATTTATACCGAGGAGAGGAATTCTTGGTCCATATGGTAATTCTATGTTTAGCTTTTTGAGGATCTGTAAGGTTGTTTTCCAAGGTGGCTGCACCATTTCACATTACTTCCAACAATGTAGAAGAGTTCTGATTTCTCCACATCCTTAACACTTATTTTTCTGGCGCTTTGATTATAGCCATTCCAATGGATATGAAATGGTATTATGGTTTTGATTGGCATGTTCTGATGACTAATGGTATTGAACATCTTATGTGCTTACTGGTCCTTTATATATTAGACACTATTTTAAAATCTTTTTTTTAAATTTAGAAAACTGTTTAGAATGATAAAATGGTTTATTTTTAATCAATATGAAGTAGATTGGTCACTCAGACTTTGATGATAATCACAAAAGGCAAAACAAACCCATAAGGGACAAAACAAATAATAAGCCTTCTTTTGGGAATGAGTGAGGACATTAGTCCCAGAATCAGGTGATAAACTTCATTTCTAACTCTGAGCAAATTATTCAGCCTCTCTGATCCCCAGTTTCTAGATCTGTAAAATGAACTAGTAATATCACCTGTATCATAGGGTTGGTTTAATAATTATATAAATGTCCATATAAAGCTTATAGGATGGTTCCTAGCACACAGTAAGAACCCAATAAATTCTTGATGTAGGAAACTAGGTTAATTACAATTAATCTTTTTTTTTTCAACTATCAAAATTCTAGGAAGCTTTATTATGCAAATGAGCATCATAATCCCAAGGGGGAAATGATTTGTTGTCCTCACTTAATTGATGATGCAACCCTTGTTTCATGGGTCATCTGGCAGGACAAGTGGTCCAGGAATATGCTTTGGGAAAGGCTAATTTACCTCTCCTCTCTTTAAAAGGCCAGGAAACTGAGGTCCTAAGAGGAACTATCCTAGGACATCAGTCACTTGATAACAAATCCAAATAGAAGACCCAAGCTCCCCTGCTCCCCCACTCTTCAGTGAGATCTTTCCGTGAACTCTTCACCTTGGGAGTAGGGAAAGATGTCCTGTGTTCTGCCCACCTACCTGTTCAGCTCACCAAGGTCAGTTCCTGCCGTCTCAGACCATTCCTTACATTATCAGGAGCTGAAGCGAGAGAAATGGAACCTCATATAACATATGTCTAAATACATGACAGGTGCAAGTCAAGCTAACAAACTGCTGAACAAGATATGTTCTATCCTCCTTCCACGGCCAGCAGATCTTCATAATGACCTGAAAGGACAAGTTCAAATTCAGAACCACTCAGTGTTTCTCGGTGAGCAGCAAGTGTGAGGTGAGACAAGGCTGAGGCCAAGGCCACACCCATGTCTTCCTATCCCATACTGTGAGGGAAGGGACATTGTTCACTTGCAGATAGACCCACACATGATCTACAGGCCCCTGTGACTGTGGTCTCTTCATGCCCCCTCAGAATGGGGATTGTGTAATTAACAGTATGGTAGACTCTCAAGTCAGACGCTGGGAAGAGATCCATGTGTGGAGATGGTTCAAGGCTGCTTGGGCAGGAAACAGGGGTCCCGGACACCTGAAGTGAAAGGTACATGAGCTCTAAGTGGTCAGAGTACCTCATCCCTGCAAACTCATTGCCCTGTAGGAAAAGCTATAGTGGAGTAGGACCAGGGCAGGGCTCTAACTGAGGAGCCCATGTTCAAGGGCAGAGCTGCTCACTCAGTCCCTCTCAGTGCCACCAGGACCATTGCAGAGAAGATGCCTCAAAAGAAACATCTGTGAAAATGAGATTGAAAAATCTCCTCCTTGAATGATGTTTTTGTTTGTTTGTTTGTTTGTTTTTAACTGAAACAGCTCTCCAGATCCACTGGGGATGGCTAGCCCAGAGATTATGAGCAGCTATGCAGGGAAGATTCCATGTGACATACTGAGGCATACTAGGGGCACACCAAGGTGACCTGGGGACACTTTGGTCAGACTTCCTCTGGTAAATTAGGGAAGATCAGTAAAAACCAGAAGGCGACTCAAGCTCACATTATCTCTGGATAGTTTACTACATGTAAATAATAAGAACTTGATGATAGCAAGCAGATTGTTCATTATTAGTAGTATGATCCGAGCCTGCTCTATGGCTCCTCAGCTAGTTGGAAACATTTTCAGTTCTAATATTAAAACCTGTTAGAATGTTTTTTTTGCTAAAGCTAATAGAACAATACAGGTCAGATCCATTATAATGAAAATTTCAATTAAGAAAGTGCCATATGTGCTACTATAAAGAGAGAGAGAGAGAGAGGGGGGGGGGGGGGGAGAGGGAGAGAGACTGCAGCGGCACATATAGCTGGGATGACAATGGCTTCATCCCCTGCAGGTGCATGACATAATCATGCCCTCAGCCTCTGTCACTGTGACCATATTGGAATAGGAAATTCCCTTCTCCTCCTCCTTTAAGTCTTTTGGTGCTCCCCTCTGTTCCCAATAATCTCCTGTTCTCCTCTGTTTCCCCAACCCTGAAGACCTGACAACTGATAAAATTGATGTTTGTTTGTAGATCCTTTGGGTCACAGGGCTTTTGGTATCCCAGAAAGTAGGAACTCTGAAATAGAATACAAAAAAAAAGAAAGTAAAAGAATGGAAAACTAAAAAGCAGGGGCCCAATGGGCACAGTGACACACATCTTGTAATCTCAGCAATGTGGGAGGCTGAGGCAGGAGGGTTGCAAGCTTAAAACCAGTCTTGGCAACTTAGTGAGACCCTGTCTCAAAAGAAAAAATGTTTTTTAAAACGGGAGTTGGGGATGTTGCTCAATAGTAGGATGCCTCTGGGTTGTTGATCCATCCCTAGTACCTAAATTTAAATATATAGATAGATAGGTATATAGATAGATAGATATCAGGGACTCAAATTGAATTGTAAACTCCACTTCTGGCCTGTTGGGGCAGGACTCATGGGTTTAAGAACCTAACCTCTGGGATGAGACTAGCTGAGTTTGGTCTCGTCTCTACAACTCCCTCTTTATAGAACAGTGAACAATTTACTTTATCCCTCTGAGCCCCCGTTTTCTCATTGTAAATGGAGATAATAACATCAGTTTTTCACATGCCTCTTGGGAGAAACAAATGAGATAATGCATGTTAAAGCACTTAGCAAGGGCTGGTGGACAGAAAAAGTCAGTCCATATTGGTAATTATCTTCATCTTTATCTTTATGTCATGGGCAGGCAGTAGTTGGTGAGAAGGCATACAATTTAACAGGAAATCTGGATCTGTCATAACTCTAAGCCTTTGGGCTAACCAGTTCACTTCTGTTTCCTCATCAATAAGTTGAAGATCACCACACACCTCAGGTTTCAGGGAACTAATGATAGTGAAAGTGTTTGCAAACTATGATGTGATTTGCAAGCCTAATTTAATATAATCACTTCCAAGCTAGCACCAAGTCCCTGGAAGTGTTGGACACATGTCATCTGTAAGAGTCTGTTCAGAATATAGACTGTCTGGGCAGTTGAGTAATGCCTAAAAGCATTGTAAGAATCCAATGATACAAAACAAACAAGTCAAAAAATGTAGAAACCTGAAATCAAAAGGTCTGAGATGTACAGAAGAGTAGTGATCATGAAGGAATTGTCTGACTGCTTCACTTAATGACTTAGCAGCTTTCAAATAGGTTGTTTATACTTTAAAAACTCATAATTGATATTTAATAGCATGGCCTACTTTCAGACCTAAAGTCTATAATGGTTTGTCTCTCATGACCATGATTCAAGTGCGATGGTTTGAATATGGTTTGTCTTCAGCAATACTCATATTTAATTGCCAATATAATAATATTGAGAGATGTGGGCCCCTTTAAACAGAGGGTGGGGTCATATGACCCCTGCCTTCATTAAGAGATTAATGTAGAACCCGTGAGAGTGGGTTAGTTACAAAGCAGGTTCTGCTTCCTTTACTCTCACATGCTTCTTCTCTCACCGCGTGATCTCTTCTACACATGGCTATTTTCCCTTTCTGCTTTGAGACCTTTGCCAGAGGACAAGCTTCATGCTCTTGGACTTCCAGAACCATGAATCAAAACAAACCTCTTTTCTTTGTAAATTATCCACTCTTGGGTATTTTGATACAGCAACAGAAAACAGACTGAGGCACCAAGAGTTGAACAGGTCTGGCTTTGCTGACATGCACCACGATGGCAGTCATTCTTGAGCTAACCAGACCTGACCTGAGTGTTCTGCTGATGGAGGCAGCCAGTGAGCTGACCACTTGGCTCAGTTCATGGCATTTTCAACCTTCTGGTCCCAGTTCCTGGCTAACAATGATGCCCTCTGAAGGCCCTTTCAGCCTGGTCATTCTCCAGGGCAAAGTGAACTGATTATTTACACATCACTTTTCTTTTCTTGGACTCTTGAGTCCTGGGAGTGTGTTAAAACATTTTTATCCTGAATCTTTCACTTGATGAAAAAAACCTCAGGGGAAATGGAAAAGGGGGAGTGAGTGTTGAAGAAAAACAGAAGAAGGAAGAGAAAACCAGTGCTCCCCCATCTCTGCCGCGCCTCCCCAGGTGAAGGAAGGGTGGCGCCATGGTTGCACCAACGTGGTTCTGAGGCGGAAGCAGTTTGGGGAAGCAGCGGCCTGCACGGCTCAGGGGAGCCACCAACCCCTGAGGGAGGTGGCCCCGGTCAGAGGCTCAGTCTCAGCTGACCACGGGGAGAGCAGCCCACGTGAGGAAGAGCCCAACACCTGGAGCAGGAGCGGAAACCCCAGGCCCAGTGGAGAGAGCCAAAGCTTGGAGCCCATCCTCCCCTCCTGCTCTGCTCTTCACCCCCATTTCCTCTTAGCTGTGGTTAAAGAAAACACACCACAATTAAACCAAGGCCCCTCACATGTAATTTCTACCTTCCCATTCAGTTAGGGGCGGCCTTGAGCCTCTGCACGTCCAGGTCGCCCTCTCCTCAAGTTCTCCTTTCTTCCCCACCTGCCTCCCCCTGCATCAGTTCTGTTTGGTCGCTTTTCCTGTCAGCTCGCTGCTCTCTCTGCTGCCTCAGTCACGGCTCCCCTCCTCCTCCCTGCTCCTGCCACCCCATCCCCACCCTGGCTGCCCCTCTTTGTCGCTGTCCTCCTCCTGCCCCTCCTTCTGCTCTCCTGGTCAGCCTTTCTCGTTCAGGGTCATCTTTTCAAGATGTCTTGATAGATATTTTCTGATTTCTCTGCTTCTGGTTTCTGGAACTTAGAAGCTGGATTAAAATCTTATATGGAGCCGCCCAAAGGCTCTTCTATTGGTCAGGAAAGAATAAGGGTGGTTGGTGTTTTAATAAGTGAAATAAGCATAATGATTAAGTCATTTTCTTGTGAATTTTCCAAGAATGCAGACTACTTCTATTTCTTTGCAGCCTCCATAGAGTCCAGCATTGTGCCTACTCAAATATCTGTTAAATGCCTCAGCCAATAAATAAATGAATATGGAAAACAAAATGTGACTTTATTTCACTGGAGCACATACAGCCACCACAGTGTCAACTGAGCCAAAGAGCAGAGATACACATCTTTAGAGAATCTTGGAAATTATCCGGTGAAGACATATATTCACTTAACAGTTAGCATAAGTGTTATTCAAATGTAAATGCTGCTACTAAGGTTTGTTCTCTTCCACGGGCTAACGTTTTCCTTGTTGACATTACTAATTTTCTTGCAAACCCTCTTTTATAAATACAGGCAGTCTGTAAATTCTGTTCACAGAGCTCATGTCCCACTGTGTCACTGGGTTACTTTACCCCTCCCCTCTGCCCTGTTGGATTCACTTAGCTTATTCTTTCCACAAATGTGCATTTTATGCCTTTCCCATGCCAATCTGTATGCTGAGTGCTTTTGACAAATTATGTCATTTAATCCGTACAATACTCGTAAGAAGGAACTGTTATTATCTCTACTTATCAGGTGAGAAAACCAAGGTCAAAGTTAGTCAGGTAGGTTCTCCAACTGTCCCAGTTTGCTCACCACTGAAGTAGTTCCCGAGACATGAGCTGTGCCATTTTGAAACCAAAGCATCCCAGGCAAGCTGCCCCCGTTTTTCCCAAGACTGGGGAATTTCCCAGGACATGGGCCTTTCAGTGCTAGACTGGGAAATCCCCATGCAAGCTGGAT